AAAGGGACTCAGCCATCACACAGCCAACAAGTCACCTGCCCACAGCCACCTCCCTGTCTGTCACTCAGCTACCACAAGTCACCTACCTGTCATTCAGCTTCCTTTTATCAGCACTTGCTAAATACATTCATGATGCATCTATGCAACAGCTGCAAACAAAAAATTTGCAACCATACATATTCAGGGCAGTGAAACCTTTCATTGCTTCTTATAGAATCATGTTAAAAGGCTAAAATTCCTCTGAATAAGATTTACAGAGACTACAAAATCCACAACGGATGGAAAAACAGCAAAGGCACAGAAACAACTGAGATGTAGAGAGTCTGAGCCTGCAAACAGAAAATATGCAAAATTAAGTTCAACTTGGAAAAAATACAATACAGCTATGTTTTTTCTTACTAAAAAAGAAAAAAACCTCCAGACCACACAAACCTAGAAAGCAGCAATGGGTAGGAGACTGAGGGTCAGTAACAGATAGTAAATTAGACATGACTCCACAATGCAGTCTGACAGCAAAAAAGGTCACCACAATTTCAGGCTGCATATGCAGAGACAGCAAGTAACAGGGAAGTAATGGTTTTTATCTATATTGATCGGGTGCAGTCTACTATGGAAAAAACATGCTCAATTCTGTGTTTCGTGTAAACAAAAACTAATGGCAGTTTGGAGGGACTTCATAGAAAACAGCCACAGAATAGCTTGGAGGGCTAGCAGAACTAACCAAGGAAGATGAAAAGCTGGCAAAAATAAAAACCACAACAACAACAACAAAAAAAAAAACCCACAGACATTCTCTTACAAAGAAATTAGAACAATTCAAGAAGTTGACAAAAAATTATTGCTGAGCATAAGCTAGGCAAACCTGCTCATTTTTGCACCAAAAGCAGTCAAGATTTACTCTGAGAATTACCAAGTCTAACTTGGAAGGCTGTTAGCATTGATGGGGCAATTATTTTCAGAACTGTTGTCCTGTGTGAATGTCCAGCTGCACCCTGGTAATTGTTTCTGGTTCACACAATAGCTAAGAAAAGCACGATAATGTGGAAGACTGGAAAGACACACTAAAGATGCAAAATTTACTCAGCATTGCAAAAGGGAACATTAGTAAAACTGGTGGAAGAAAAATTAAGGAGTAGGCCTCAGCTAAACACTTGGGCAATATTTCTCAAAGCTGAGATCAATCAGTCAGGATGACCTTGTATCACCCTAAGATCAAAATTCAATCTGACACAAGGGGGTTCAAAGGCTTGAAGCTGCATTAGGAGGCACATTATTAAACTGAGGTGGACAGCCAAGGCCAGTGTGTTCTGAATGAGTGCCTCAAAACGACTGGTGCAAGTTCCTGCTCATAACATCCTTAGAGGTAGTATAGTCCTAATTGTAAAACCTTGAGAAAAGTGAAGATTTCTGGCAGTATTAAAGACTTAACAGCACTTTCTGCTTCCTAGATTTCTGGGAACAGCTCAATCACTTCACACTCTCTGCTGATGAGAAAGCAGTAAAAGTCTTTAGAGCTTCCAGGCCAAGGCAACAAGCTCCTACAGGAATCAAAGCTTAGGAGCCTGGCTTTTCTTTGCACTGTCCTCATGGCTCCTGGCTGGGCTCAGGGTATGGGCTGAGCCTGCTCCCATCAGCAAATCCACTGCTTCATGAAACAGTGAAGTCAGTACGCAATCATGCACAAAGCATCTGTGTGAAGAGAGAAGGCAAGACAGAAAAAAAATAAAAATCAATGCCTGAAGAAAGCATTGGCATCTCAATATGCCATTCAAAAGAAAACCCATCTTGATGTAATGCAAGATAGCCAATGGAAGTAAAAGGACTGCTCTTTCTCAACATCCTATGCCATTTACAATTCATTTAGGCAATCAGTATATTTCAACACTCCTTTTAAATCCAAGCTGGAAGTGCTTAGTATTGAATTGGCACAAGTTTAAAAGAGGAAAAAAGGAAAAAAGCAAACAATAACAAAAGAAATCCCAATCCATCTTTTCACTGAGGTGCATTGCCTTGCTAATTGTGCTTTAGAAAAACAAAGCAGTTCTGGACAGCTGGTTAAAAGAAGCTGTTAATTTAGAATAACCTGTTTGTTAATTGCCTTCAACCTTGGTCAGTCGGTTTCTGCACTCTAAACCCTAAAGGTAGCTTGAAATGAATGCATCTAGGGAGTGAGGAGTAATTAGTGCAAGCAGGCAGCCATGGCTGGAAGACAGAGGTTACAGTGAAGGGAGGAAAGGTCTAAACCAGTGCACAAGCTCCTAGGAATTGGCCCTAGTGCTCTCTCCCTCTGCTCCCTCCCTTTTCCCTTCTGCTGCAGAGCTGCAGCTACAGCTGGAGCCTTCTGACAAAGTAGGGATGTCCCACTGCCCCTCAGGCACTCTGCCACCACCAGCAAAAAAAAAACTGCAGGGCTGTGGGGTTTTATTGGCACAAAAAGTGAGCAAAGATCCTGCATGCAGCCTTACTGACTGCCCTGCCTCCCTGATCTGTCCCCTCTCCTCGCTGGGAGTCACAGGAGATGCCTCACTGGGACCCACAGCACCAGCTCCCCCTTCCAGAAATCTTCTGCAAAAGATGCAGAAGGTTTCCACCAGCTTGTGGGTACTGGGGAAAATATCCCCCTGCATCCCAGAACCCCAAAACACAACCCATGTAGAAATACAGCTTCCACCATGTCTTCACAGGCATAAAGGATGATTTTCTGTTTTCCCAGCTTGCTGATCTCCTCCTGCCAGGGTAAGGTTGCCTCATGACCACCTTCAGGGAGAGAGGCTGCAGAGGGAGTGGAAAGGAAAAAAACGCTGGAAATTAGTCACTCGTTTTACAAGCTGCCTCCGCCTGGTTTGCCATGCGCTCAAAATAGAAAAACAACTGACCTGTGAGTTATTTAAACATGAGTGTAACATTTAGAGGCACAAGGCAGGGCACAGAGATTTTATCCGACTGATGTCTGCCTGACCCCTGCAAGTCCTCAGGTGACCCAGGCATGCATGGCCACTGTGGCCAGCAGCTCCCTCCAGGCATCCCCACTGCCTCCCTGGGTGCCAAGCAAAAATGTGGTGGTGGTTCACACTGTCCAAGGGAAAAGAAGTCTTACTTAGAAGAGTAATCAAGGCTAACAGGAGCCAGGCTTGTTTCCTTATAATAAACATGGCATCATCCTCAATAGATTTCCATTCTGGCAGTAGCCTAGTGCATTTTCCTGCAACACTGAAGCAGATGGACAATGTTTAGAGGGAGCTGGGAGCCACAGCTCTGAAACAGAATTCCAGCAAGCTGTATATGCTGGGACCCACTGTGCTTCCAACTTCCAAGGGGCCTTTCAGGGCAAAAGCTCTTCCTGACCTCCAACCTAAACCTCCCCTGCTGCAGCCTGAGTCTGTGTCCTGTCATCATGTCACTGGTTGCCTGATCCCCATCTGGCTACAACCTCCTTTCAGGCATTTGTAGAGAGCAATGAGGCCCCTCCCTCACCTTCTTTTCCTCCAGTTTAGACACCCTGCTCCCTCAGCTGCTCTTCATATGGTTTAATCTCTAGACCATTCACCAGCCTTGAGTTTGTGATTTGTATTGTAACAGCCTATGCCAAAACTGCATCTAGAAAGAAGAAAAAAAAAAGCCTTAATAAAGCTGGTAAAAGCTGGTTTCAAGCTTATACCATACCTGAGTATAAAGTCATCCCAACAGCAAAGATGGGATGCTTAATGCACTCAAGAAAAATCTACACACTCGTGCTGTTTGCAAAAGAGGATTTAAGCCATGACTTAATTTGAGGCTTAAGTTGCCTAATGTAGCACACTGAGCTTTACAGCACACATACCTTTTTCTCTTGAATATTCCCATAAATTTGGCAGCTACATAGGGTCTTACCTGCATCTGGCACCTCGAAGTTACCTTGATAGCATATTGCTGCCTAACCACTTCCTACTTCAACACTTCAACAAAGACTAACGTTATCAGAGGTATGGTTTAAAATATGACAGTAACTTCCAACCATGTTTCTAGATAGAATAATGTGAAGGCTGAAAAGGCAAGCATTCTAAGAGCAGGAAAGACATGAAAAGAGTTTGTTGGCAGCTCTGTGCCAGTAGGGCACTACTCTGAAATATGTCATCTTGAAGTGATTATAGTTTGTCAGCTACAGCACACAACACCAGCAGAGAGAAACTGCAAGGCATGTATATGCACACATATGTACACTTCGGCCAGCATCACACCCAGGTCCTCAGCAGGAGCACAAAGTTTTATTCTTATTTTTTTTTCTTCAACACAGCATAGCTCTAGGTTATTGTTTCTCCAGGGACAAGTACATTCCTGCTCTCCTCACACTACTAAATCCAGTAGTGCCTTAAGAGGCTTTGTCTTAATAATTTTCATCACTGTTATTGATAGATGTATTGATACTGGAGGTGGCCAGGTCAGGTTGTAATGACTCTCTGAACTCATGAGTTATTTATGAGTACCTGCTAATCTGCATCACGTGGAATTGTTGAGTTAAAACACACACCATCTTTTAACCCCCATGTTCTCTCATGGAGAGCACAGGCTGTTCCCATTCAAAAGAGGACCAATACTCCACTGAAATCCCAACTGCACCACAACAGCAGAGGCTTAGCACAAGCCAGAACTGCACATTTGCCCCTTCACCCAAGAGTGCTCTTTGCAAGGTGTTCTCCACACATATTATGGTCACAACATGACCTTATGGAAAACAAAACTGGGTCTGTGCAAGAAAAGTGGATTTTTTCCAGTGCTGAAAGTATTTTCTCAGCAAAAAATATTTCTGAAAAAAATTATACATAATGCTAAAAGGAGCTTCCTGTATCTTCAAATCCACACTGTCAGAGAGTAGCTACCTCCAGTCCTTTTCCTTAGCTTCCAGGCTCAAGGGAGCAAACATAGACTTCCATTTTAGAGGGGAGGTAAGAACCAGCAACTACCCCAGATTTCCATGACAACTGCAAATTCTCAACACATCTTCAGATTTTGTTGCTGGTTTCTGTCTCTTGAGCTAATGCCAAGCTAACTCTAGCAGCAAAATTATCATGCAAAGGCATGTGGTCCATTAAAAATATGAGTCAGAATTGCAGGGTGATGTCACATCAGCTGCCCCTGATGATAGCTATCAAAAGTTAGCACAAGCTTCCAAATCACAAACGCTTTGGCTCTGATCCTATTTTAGTGAATCTGCTTTTACGATTAAACCATCACTCTAATTGGCACTGGAAGAGCATTGGCAGTCTGCTGTGGTTGCCTTCCTTGCAAAGCATGTTTGTGATGCTCATCTCTGAATGATGCATAGTGTCTGCCTGTCTTCAAATATAAAAAAAAAAAAAAAAAATTAGAAAAAGAAGGTATGAACAGCAGCTGGCAGATAGACTGGTCAGCAGTGATTCACTCCCTGGCAGCCATGATGAGAGCACCATGAGCTAAATTCAGCCCTGCTGGAGGTGAGCATTTCTCCATTTCCTTTTGTGGCATTGCACCTACATTACACCAGGTATGAAGCTTGGCTTTCTATGTTTAATAAAATGTGGTAACTGCCTTTCACTGGCTACCAGCTTTTTGACAAGTGCTACACTCTAATTTGGGCAACAGCTTGTTAGGGCAGCTGGAATTGCATTGTACTCCATAGGCAGATAGTGAGGAGAAGTCAGGGTAGGGGAAGGGACAGAGCGAGCAATGTGTCTTGTGTACTTAAATAGCTGGGTTGTCGGAGAAAAAAAACACCCACATGCAGCAGCAAAAACCAACCAATGCCTAGGAGCCAGGGAGAAGGATTTACACACTTTACATTTTCTAATTTCCCTCTGGATAAGAATCATAGACTTTATCCAGCCTTTTAGGTTGTGGGAAAAAGGGAGGAATATGGAGTTTTGAATGCACTACCATTGCACATGCCTGCATTACAAAACCTGTCTTTTTTTTCCCCCAAGCACAAATGGTAGATAAAATTTTAAAAATTAGGCTGGCATTGAGTATTGTGACACACGGGGCACTAAATGTTTGGGTGGTTGGTGAATTTCTCAAATAGATTAGAAGTTAGCATGAGGCAAATGAAAACAACCTTCCCCTCCCCCTCACTACTAAATAAAGCGCAGAAGGGAGAAAGGATGGGGGGGCAATCTTAGATATTTCTCCTCCCCTTTTGTTGTCCCCCTCCCCTTTCCCGATATTGATATTGCTCTGCTTTTTGATCTCTGCACTTCTTTGTTTTGGCTTCACAGGTATCAAGGGAAAATGGCTAGCAGTGAGTTCTGTAGCTTTTCCTGCTCTACAGCCCCTCTGGCTTAGCCAGCTGGATCACACTGAATTAGTCAAGTACTTCATTATCTCCCTTCTCTGCACATTTAGCTCCAGGTAATAAAATGCCCAAACAAGAGAGCCAATGCCTTCTGCTGCACTGTCTGTGAAGTTTTGTTGTTTTGGCCAATTCTGCATATCAGCATTGTGCTATGGGAGGGCATCACTTTTCATCCCTTGCCTGCAGTGCTTCCCAATCTCCATTTAGTCACAGCAGTTAGCTAACCATGTAGCTGTTGATAACATAGCACAGTTTTGGAGCCCTTCAGCCTTCAGGAGGTCTGGGATTTCTCTCCCAGTGTGGGCCTACAGGAGGAGAGGCAGCTAGCTGGGAGAGTCAGACCAATTACATGGTGAGGAGGGATGCAGAGCTGTGGATGTGAGAATTGCTCTTATTAGCAGCCAGTGGGGTAGGAGTTTTGCACTAGGGCATTTTCTGCAGTGGTGAACTGCTAGCCAGATATCTAGGTCAGGTAGGGAAAGCCGTAGAACAAAAGTCAGGCAGTTGCTTCGTGCACCCTTCTGTCGTGAGGCGCTGTGCTATGCAGAGGAAGAGAGGCTTTTATTATTATTGGTGGTGGTTTTATTTTTTCTTCTCCTGACTCATTGCAATATAATGGCAGCTTCTCTTTTTCACTTCTATTCTTCAGAACAAATGCTTAAAATCTATTTTAATGTATTTTTTTAAATACATTCTTCTCCTCCCCCCTGCTCCATGGGATTTTTTCCCCCCTAAGATGACCTTTAGTTAAAGCCATAAACTAGCTTGAGGCAATCTCTGGCAGCTCTGTCATGTGATGGGCAAAATGGGCCATATTTAAATCACATGGAAAAGAACAGAAAGAAAGAATCTAGTTCACCTCTTCAGTGCTTAACCTTATTCACAGTGGTCAGTGCCAAAAATCTCCTAAATGTTCTCTGTTTAGGGGAAGGCATGAGAAAAATACATGCTGAAAAAAAAGTCTACCTTGCATAGAAATCTAAGTTTCAAGAAATCAGTTTCCCCTGTGTGAATAAAAACAAAGGAACTGAAATATGGGAGAAGATATGGAATTTGTTTTTGCAGTCACCTTTCACCCATCCTTGTTCCATCAAGTTCTCCAAATTTCCTGTCTGGGACATTCAGCCCACAGGAAAGTGGGTAGGAAAGAAACATGTGAACCAAATTCCATGCTAAGACACATAGCATTAAAGAAATTCAAATTCAGAGCACTATAAAAGCAAGGAAAAAGCTATATATGCATATTATAAATTTGATTCACAGCCTGCCGAAGCAAACAGCTGACTCTATTGATTTCAGTGATCTGTAGATCAGTCCTTAGTGACAAAGAGAAGGACCTCATAACAAAGGTCCAGACTGCAGCATTTAGATAAAAATATTAACAGCAAAATACTGCTAAATTAATCCAACTTCTTTTGATTATTGATGTCCTACTGTTTTCTGCCTGAAACAACATACACGATGCATCAGTCATTTATAAATTATTCATTCACAGTTATTTTGGCAGCAGCTTCTTTCCATTTATCAACTGATAAACGTACAGGAGATAAGAAGGGTAATTTTACAGCCCCTTGACATTTACCTTTGACACAATTTCCATATTTAATAAGGTAAAATACAAATGACATTTTGGGGATTCCAAAGTCCATGTTATAAAGCTTCACTTTAACTTCTGTATCCATGTCACTTGAGATGAGCAAACCAAGCACATACAAACCTCACATGCACACAAGTCCCTCCGAGCTGGCTTCTCAAGTGTGATTTCAGCAGCCCTGAAATGTGCTTGTTGTGCCACCAAATTGCAGAGCCTGTTCACGGCTGCAGTGGGAAAGATTATGGTTGACTTCAGAGGCTTGGATAACATCCAAAGAGCCACAGCTCTGGGGACTGTTGAAACCATGAGACATAGCCAGGTCAAGAATTTACTGTTGCCTGGCCCTGTTTCTAAAGATCTCATTCATATTCCCACACACAAAGCTCTTGGCCATTTCAGATCTTTGCCCAATATTACTAAAATAGTCATTCCATATGCTCAGTGAAATTACATCTTATGAACCCTGAGGTTAAAAATGGGGAAAATCAGGTTCCAGATATTCAAAAACTACATCTGTCTCACTGTCCATATTTATCTTTGTAAGGTCTTTGTAAGGTCTGCAACCCACTGGGCTGTGGTACCACAGCACATGACATGCGGTTGCCACACACCGGCAGAAGTGTGAGCCACTCCAAGCAAACAGAAAACAAGTGGAATTACTTCCATCCTAGAAAAGAATGACAGAGCCTTTGAACAGCATCTGTCCTATTTTTCAGTCTAGCCTTTGAGACAATTAAAGACAGACTTATTTTTTTTTAAGAGGAAAATAAAAAAAACACCCACACTATTTAAAACAGCAGAGAAGGAATAAATTATAACTGTACCATTAATCCCAAGACCTACAGAGACTACCAAAATCCTCCACACATGATAAAGTACCAAGAGACCACTGTGAAATTTGTATGCCATTTCTACAAGTCCTATAAGTATTGCACATTATGCATCTAGAAGTAATTACAGCACAGCCAATTAACTGTTGACTTGCTCTTGCCCTGTAATTCTAGACAGTATTCTTTGTGGAGTTGTACTTTCAGGAGCAATATTATACAAGAGACATTAGCCGCCAGTTCATACCTGCACGTACTTCAATAAAACCCACTACTGTTCACGTGAAGGCACTGAGCTCTGCACAATACCTAAAGGACACAAATGGGGAAACTTCCACTGACAAATTAAATCGGCCAGGATAGATTTCAGAAACAAAAAGAAATTTTTGGCGGATGGGATCATAGCATAGTTTGATCACCAATAGCATCCACAAGTGCCATCAAGGGACAGTTATTTAGAGGTCACATAGACCCCAGCCCAAGAGGGGTCTCCTACAAGGTGTTTTTTCTCCACACTGTCCTTGAAAAGTCCAGCTAAACAGTCATGTTATGTGATGGATGTTGGAATATGAAAGGTCAATTAGAAGCTGAGTTCTGGTTTTTTTTTTTTGTTTTTTTTTTTGTAAGTGCCAACAGATGAATGTATTCTGCACTTAGGAAAACAGTTCAACAACACCCACTCACTCTCAGAGACACATACAGCTTTCACATTCATGGCTAGGATGGAGGAAGCGGGAGCAAAAGTGGCGAGATGTCCTTTCCGTCATTAAGCCACTATACATGTAATTGAGTTGTTATTACTATTTTTTCCGAAGGAAAACTAACAAAGCAGAACTCTAGAGGTTTGGGTGAAGTGTTAAGGGTTATTCAAAGTGAAATTCTTACATAAAACTTAAAATCTGGGGAGACTTACCATAGTTTTTGTGCTGGTGAAAGCTGCCAGACTGACAACTCTGGAGGCACAGGCCTCTTGCCTCCTCAAGGGAAAGGGAAGTACAGAGAGAACTATGCACCTTTTCTGCAGCAGGGCATTGAGAAATTCAGGTCTAGAGGCACACATTACTGGGCAGGACTGGAAGCAGTAACCAAGGGCTGGAAGATATCACCTGGGTCATCTGAGATGTACAGGTTAGAAGAATCCCCTACAAATCCACAATTTCCCATGTACACTACACAATATGCAACATCTGCAACACTTCTCCCCTCCCTGTACCCCATAATAAACTTCAGAGATCAACTACAAAAGACCAGGTGACTCAGAACAAAATTATCTTTCCTTTAAGTCTCTTCCAGTGTTTTGTCCAGAGAGAGGGGATTTTCAGTCTTAGTACACTATGGTTCATGCCTCCATATTTGTTGGTTTCTTAAGTAACACTTAAGTTTTATTCCAAATATATGGCAAGCCCCAGGGCTCAATTCAGATAAGCATGCTTCTGTTCCGGTGCCAAAGAAAACATCCTTTTTTTTTTTTCTTGCAGCCATCATAAACCAGTCACCCTAGAAAAACCAGCTCTTTGTTCTTGGGGAAACAACAATTGTCAGAATATTTTACATGTAAATGAAACATGGGAGCTCATCTTCCTCTTTTATTTGTCATTGCAAGCTTTCCCCATTTACCATTCTGCTCTGATTTTCCCATTTAGCAGTGTACGGAATCTGCAATAGTGCATATTGTAATATGCAAATTGTATATAGCATTTTGGTGTCAGACACACTGAAATTAAATCAAATGGAAGAAAAAAAAAGAAAGAGTGTAATAAAGGTACCTTTATGGCCTCAAGCTGTAGATAAATTGTGGTCTGTGGTAGTTAAACAACAGCTGTTCAGATTTAAAACAAAATTATGATAAGGATCCCCAGAAGATAACACCTCTTGAGGTAACAGCATTTACCTAAATGCATCTGTTAGTAGCAAACACTGCGACTTAAGACTGTTTATGTGATAGTTTATTCCCATTTGTTTTCCTTCTCCTCCCCCCACTTGTGCTGTTTAGCAGGAACGAACCCTTCCACAGCCATACTGACCTCGGGGGTCTCCGAGCACTTCTCCACCTGCCTGGGAAGGACAGACAGCCTCTCCCAGCTGCCCACAGGTGGAAGCAGGCTGCGAGCCCTCCATGCTGCTAAGTGCAAGGATTATAGAACAGCGAGAAAGCAAATTGCTACAGTTAAAGAAAGAAAACAGCAGGACTAACACATTTTAGTAGGGGTACGTACACCGAGTCTCAGCAATCTTTATACTCTTTGTGAACAGCAGTTCTTTAAGAGCTTTACACCCAATAAAATTTAAACTTTTATATATTTTTTTTCTTCGTTTATTGCACTGGGGGTTTTTATTGCAGACATGTAGCAAGCCACCCATATGGAATTTCAGCAAGTGGCAGCCACGCTCGGCCTGAGCGCTTCAGATCTGCCCAAAATGAGCCTCAGGTTGCCAGCTTCAGGACTGAATTTTTTGCACTGGGTCATTTCATTTCTTACACCCCTTCCCACTCCCTCTTGGCTGTATTGTGTTGCCTATCATGTTAAATAAATATTAAAAAAAAAAAAAAAAAAAAACCAGTGGGGGGGAATCCCAAAAGAAAGAAACAGCAAAGGTTTTTAGCTTCAGTCCCATGGCAGGAAAATAGCTGCTGGGGAGGATGGGGAGATTTGAATATCCAACTTACTTTCTTCTCCCATTCCTTTCAACAGAGGATGCAGGCAGTAGCATGGGGCATGCTGGCAGTGCGTGACAGCCCTCCATCCCAGCCACTGCCCACAGGAACACCTACGTGCCCCCCATCTCCTCAGCAAGCACGAGTTCAGCAACAGCAATTCATCATTGGGAGAAACATTAATATTTTACCTTAGTTACCAAGTGCGCCCGTTCAAACTTTTATCTAAAACATTCTTTATCATCTTTTCATTAAGTTCTCAAGAGCTAATGGTTTCTGAGTTCCCGGGGTAAGGATGATGTTCTGAATAATGAAAGCTCATTATTTCTCCACAGAATGCTTGTTAATTCAAATGATGATATTAAAACTATAGTAGCCTTTAGCGCTGGGGTGATTTCTAGCATACTTTATCATGTATCAATATATACTCTGTTTGTCAAAACTGCCCAGGGCTGGGGCTGACATTCTCTCTGGAGGAGTCTAGTGCTTCAAGAGGCACTGAATACACCAAGGTGACAACTTGCAGAGTTTGCGCCTCTAGGAAATGGAAAGATGAAACTTGAAGTGCCATTGTCCCCCTTGATTTCCTTATTAGTATTCATAAAGAGACAGTATCCTCCTCTTTTCCTAGTCCTCACAGGCCTTTCTTTTGAATGAAATAAAAGGCGCACGCACACACAAAAAAAATACACATGCACAAGTTTTACATATAAATCATACCCCTTTGTTGCAATTTAAGGAGTTCAAAATGTGTTTCTGGAGTTACAGGTAGGCATGCCTATTGCTTAGCCACAATCAAATATTTAAAAAAGAAAAGGTACCCATTAAAGACAAGGCAAAGACATTTTTTGCACCCTATTTTTTTTTGCATCTGCCTTTTTCTCCCTCACACCTCTCCATATAGCCAGGCGATATTACCCAGCAGCTTAGCTAGAAGCTCCCTGACATCACAGCCATTTTTCAGCTTTGATTACAAAACTACCACAAACATTGCCAAGGCCTCATTCTCCCACCATTGTGCCCCCTCCAAGAAAGAAAGGAAAAAAAAAAATGGGGGGAATAAAAAATTAAGGAAAAAATTCCATCCATATGGAATCCCTTTGTAAATGTTAAAAATAGAACTGCAATGAAAAGGCCAACTAGAGTGGTCATGAGGCATGTTTCTTCAAATAACATTACATTTCCTGCACAAGGGCTCCTTCTCCCATCTCGTACAGCCTGCATAAATATGCACACCCTTATCTGACTGCAAATTGCATCATCACCTCCCATCAGATGTTTTGCAATAGCCAAGCTCTGGCACAGAGGGGGAAGGAATATGCTCAGACTCCAAACTGGTCTCCAATCCCTCATCAGCATCCCTTGTTTCCCTGAACGATCAACAAGGTAAAAATTGAGGGTTTGTAATAGAGCTGAGGGACTGGGGTGGAAGCAGGAGGGGCTTGCTCATTCTCCTGCAGTCTCCCAGAAGAAAATGTAATTCTGAGCATCACAGCAGCCCTGCTGGCTGCTGGGAGCAGCCAGGTCAGCATTCACGTGTGCTACAACACACGTCTCCGCACCGTCCTCACGTAATTATCTCTCTTGTGAAAGATTTGTTGGACTTTTGCCCACAGGCAAAAATAATAAGAATATGGTAAACTTTTTCCAGCTTCCCCTACTGGCCTATCCTTAGAGCAGGAATTAAATATTAATGTGCTTTAAAACACCTAACTGGATGATATTTTTCAGTTTTGCACAGAGGTGAGACCGAATTGCAAGTTTGTTTATGCTGCCTCCCATACTTAAGCAGAAAATACATGTGAAAAATGCATTTTCAGCCCTGTTGCACAGACTTACAGGAAGAGAACGACAACCATGTGATTTCAGCATTCCTGTTCACCTGGGGGCATGCTGTCATCTCAAACATGTCCAGCAGTGTTGGTCTCTGGAGAGCCCCAAGGCTGAAACAATATTCAGCCCATGGACACTGCTCCTGCCTTCCAGAGGTGACTCTCCAGGAGCCCCACGCCAAGCTATGGGTCTGGATGTTAATGCAGATTTTTCACCATGCTTAAGGCCCCAGTTGTGCCAGAGTCCAAACTACCTTAATGGGAGAAGGGGCAGAAGCAGTTATTGCTGCACAGGTCCCTAAGCCATGACAGGGATGCTTGTCCACAATGCCAGGATAGTGCTCCTGGAGGAATCACGCTGTGGAAGCAACTCTGGCAGGGGCATAGGCAGTGGCACAGGGACAGGACACCACGGCCATACAAGTGCAGTTGGTGCCACACACGAGCAGTGTTGAACCCAGCACAGCCCAGCAGAGCCACACTGCCCTGGGAGACAACCCTGGAAACCCCAGCCTCTCCTCCAACCAACATTCATAAGGTAAAACCTGCAGCAAGGCCCAGAGCTGTGCCGATGTTGAGGTATTTTCAAACACACCACTTGGACCACGTTGTCATCCACTCCCACGGCCCATGTGTGACTGAAACCAGGAGCACAGCCTGGGGGCTCCAGGGGGAACTGCACACTGTTGTGAAATGTGCTTATCTGGAGAAAATGAATTGTGATAGAAAAATAATTGTGTTTCGTGCCTTCTGATGGTTTAAAGAGCCCATCAGTACAGAGTAGTATTTATTTCATCACTTTACAGCAGAAGCAGATTTTTCAGTGCAATATTTGGATGGAAAAAAAAAAAAAAAAAAGCTTGGTTCTTTCATTGATTTTACTCTATCTTAATGACATCCTTACCATGCAAAGTCCAATTGACTGGTAGAAATATGCCTGATGAGAACAGAGGTAGTGAGAGGGAATAAACCCACATATGCCTCTCAAGCTGTTCCTGCTGTACCTTTCAGTTGGATCTACAGAGCCGCACAAAACTTGTGAAACACACAGGCTAAACTATTAGTTATTTAGATCTGTGATAAAGGGTTCAAACCTGCAGGCACACATTTGTGCAATTCTATGTGCATGAGCAAGGATGCTCTACACTTTTTGCCACAAACATTCATAGAACACTCCTGTCAAACAATTATTTTTTTTTTCAGCAAATATCAGTGAAATAGCCTTTTTCTCTGCAGGGCTGGAAAATACATTTTTCTGCCTTCCACAAAGATTTAGTCCATTTCATGAGAGTTTTAGAATTAAGGATTTTGACAAGCTCATATTTTCTAAAAGATACTGAATTTAAGTGGAACACAACATTCCAGCTTTTGTCCTGAATCTGGACTGCTTCCAGTCCATTTATTATAAAATAGCCCAGAATAACAGAAAAATTTTTAAAACCCACAAAAGCAAACAAACCTATCACAAAGTCTTCAGACATTTTTAACAATCCTAAAAAGCATGAATAAGCTTTAAAAATAAAAACCAACAAAAAACAGGACAAGTGCTGTTGGCAGAGCAACATCGAAAACACTCTACTTATGAATCAAGTTAAGGTGGTTCCTGCCACCCCCTTTAGTTTCGGGGTTGAGTCTATATCTATTAACTCCTCTTGGCAAACTTGGCATGCTTGCAATGCCAGAAGGGAGTGAAAAGAGGATATGGATAGTAGAGGGGTGAAGAAACTGTTTCCCAGAAGTTGTGTGGCCAGCACTCTTACCAAACCAAACCTGTGATCTTGACTTTACTTAACAACACTGAAGTCCTGAGCTTCCAAAACCTTTTTTTCCTTTTTTCTCTCTCTTTTTTTTTCTTTTCTGCTTATTTGTTGTGGGGGGTTTTGTTTGTTTTTAGGAAGACTGGCTAAGTGAAAATAATTTGTAAGCGAAGGTTTGTCAAGAGCAAGGCCCTAAGTAGTTCCATGCCCATTTCAGAGGGTGACAATTTTCAGGACAGAATCCCATGCAGGTTTTCTTTGTGCACTGGCATGCACAAACTGTCACAAAGGAAATGTCTCCAGAAGCAGAGCCCAGAGAATGCACCAGCATTGCCCACACAACATCACAGTGAGGAGGAGATTACACAACTTGACTAGTTTCTGGTGTAATAATTTCCAAAGTGGCTTTTGCAGTGACTATTGCAGTACTTCCAATGCCAATTATTTTAGGTAATTACAAGTCACTCAGTCAAGGAAAATATTTAGGAGAAACAGGAGTGGAAAATGAAATTTATTTATAAATTTTTTTTGCACTCGTAAATTTGAGTGATTCTTCAGCACCAGATTTAGAACTGTATTTTGTGCAATTCAAAATTCCCAAATTCAGAAGATGCCAGCACCTTGGAAGTCAAGGGAAAAAAAAAAAATCAAACAACAACACTAAATGCCCCAGGACACAAGAAAAATCCAGAAAGCTGGAAATACCACCCTGAGAAATTTGCTGGAGAAGTAGGGACATTAGAAGTACCAATTTTGACAACATAAATGGAAGAAAAATAAAACCAGAAGTCTTCCTAAAGGTAGATGCATTTGGCTAACAGCTCCATGATCACCACCTGGAACGATGCTTGGTGAGTGGCTGATAACTCTGCAACACTGCATGGTGACATTCTGAGAAAAACAGGTGTTCCTGCAGATGACCAGGACAGTCAGCACGGGCTCCCAGCTCCATGTCTGTACCCTTCCCAAAGATCAGGAGCACCAACAGGCAGTTCTGTCACAGCCCCTTTCACGACAGCCCTTGGCTCCTCCACTGCAGCACATGCTGGACCAGCAAAACTGGTTCTACACACCCTGGGAAAAAATGACAGCTTCTCCTTGCAAGCTGCACCGACCATAAAACGTGGAAGAGCCTCCCATGCATGCCCAAACCTGCCTCTTTCAAAATGCCTGCACACCCAGCACGGCAGGGCAGGAGCTTCGAGGAGCACTCCTGGCTGCTCTGTGGCTCAGCTTGGTGTGCAGCCCCTGCAGGTCACGGTCCTCTACCAAACTCAGCAGCATCCTTGTGCTGCAGCTGCCTGCCCTGCCTTTTGTCATGCTCCTTGCTCCAGCCCTCTCAGCCTCCTTCTCCTGGAGCATTGGCCTCACTCTGCAAACGGGAGCAAAGGGTCCAAAGCATGGCAAGGGGCCAGACTTGCATTGCCCCGAGGTAAAAGGAGCCCTGCTCCAAATTTTACACCTTTTTTCCCCACAAATGTGGGAAACAAGCAGCAACTCTTTGTACAAAAGGGTATTTTCACACATGCAGATAAGGCATGTTAATGCACACTGTGCTGCCCTTCCATATCCTCCCCAAACCTGAACCTTAATCACCTTTGAGAACCCAATTAAGAAAAAAATAAAACCAACCCAAATAATAACCAATATCTTATATTGTTGAAAACACCATTCCAACACATTCTACCCTATACCAAGGCTACCCAAGCTCCTGAAATTCCTTTTAGGCCTCCACAAGCCACAGCAGCCAGAGTTACACAGGCACCAGACCAAGACCATGCATGCTGGC